ATTAGCTTGGGGTATTGTCTTCCATCCTTTCACTCTGCGCCTGTGTTTGTCTTTGGACCTGAGGTGTGTTTCCTGGAGGCAGCATATTGTTGGGTCTTGTTTTTTAATCCATCCCACCACTCTATGTCTTTTGATTGGAGAATTCAGTCCATTTGCATTTAGGGTGGTTATTGATATATGAGGGCTTTATGTTGCTATTTTATTGCTTATTTTCAGGTTCTTTTGCATTTCCTTTGTTTCTCGTCCCGTGTGTTTTAGACTATCCGTTCAGTTTGGTAGTTCTGTATGGTGATTCTCTTAGTTTTCTTTTCATTTATCATGTGTGACTCTGTTCTGATTGTTTGTTTAGTGGTTACCGTGAGGTTTGTATAAAAAAATCTCACAGATGAAATAGACCATTTCCTGATGGCCTCTTATAACCTTAGACTAAGTCAATTTGATCCCTTTCCTCTTCCCCTACTAAGTTATTGTTGTCACAACTTATTCAATCTTGTGTTGTGGGTTTGTTTTTAAAGTGATGGGGTTATATTTATTTTTGGTGTTTTCCTTTCCTTAATCTTTGATTTTATAATTAAGTGTTTGCTGACCCAGTCTAATAAAGAGCTGCAATTTTTCTGGTTTTGTCTACCTATTTTTCTCCTTGCTCTAAGCTTTGCATCCCGTTTCTCTTTTTTTTCAGGCATGAGGGCCTTCTTGAGCATTTCTTGTGGTGGGGGTCTTGAGGCAATGAACTCCCTTAGCTTTTGCTTATCTGGGAAAGTTACTATTTCTCCATCATATCTGAAGGATATTTTCACTGGGTAGAGTATTCTTGGCTGCAAGTTTTTGTCTTTCAGAATTTTGAATGTCATTCCACTCTCTCCTAGCCTGTAAAGCTTCTATCGAGAAATCAGCTGAGAGCCTGATAGGAATTCCTTTGTGTGTTATTTATTTATTATTTTTTGTTGTCTAGCTGCCCTTAATATTTTTTCTTTGTCACTGACTTTTGCCAGTTTTACTACTATATGCCTTGGAGAGGGTCTTTTCATGTTGATATATTTAGGAGATCTATTGACTCTATTCACTGGGATTTCCAGCTCCTTCCCCAAGTTTGGGAAGTTCTCAGGAGTTCTCTGCTCCTTTTCCCCTCTCTTCTCCCTCTGGAATACTTATAATCCTTATGTTGCATTTCCTAATTGAGTCATATATTTCTTGGAGAATTTCTTCATTTCTTTTTAGTCTTAGTTCTCTCTCCTCCTCCATCTGCAGCATTTCTACATTTCTATCCTCAATATTGCTAATTCTTTCCTCCATATCGTCAGCTCTGTTCTTTAGGGAATCCATATTTTTCTTTATCTTCTCTATTGTGTTTTTCATCTCCAATATTTCTGATTGGTTTTTCTTTATAGTTTCAATCTCTTTTGTGAAGCAATTCCTGATTTCATTGAATTGTCTACATGTATTTTCTTGTAATTCATTGAGCTTTTTTATGATAGCTATTTTGAATTCTCTGTCATTTAGGTTATAGATTTCTGTGCCTTTGGGATTGATTTCGGGGTACTTGTCATTTTCCTTCTGTTCTGGAGATTTAATATATTTTTGCATAGTGCCTGATGGTGTTGGCTTATTTTTCCTCATACTGAAAATATCTAGTTGCGGTTTCCACCTGCTGCCACTGGATGGGGATCCAGAGCTGTGTATTCTGAGCCCACCGCCATCTGCGGGTACTCTGGCCGATCAGCTGAGCTGAAGCACAGCTGAGCTGAAGCATGGCTGGGCTGAAGCAGCTGGAGGGGGAGTGTGGCTGGGCTGAAGCAGCTGGAGCTGGAGTGCACCTGGGCCAAAGCAGCTGGAGCTGGAGCACGGCTGGGCCAAAGCAGCTGGAGTTGAAGCAGCTGGGGCCGGAGCATGGCTGGGTCAGAGCAGTAGAGAGCAGTGTGTGGATGAGCCAGAGCATGGCCAGGGCCAGAGCAGTGGGGCTGGGGAAGCGGGGGCCGGTGCACAGTCAGGCCAGAGCCACTGGGGCTGGAGCTTGGCTGAGCTAGAGCACCACTGAGCTGAGACTGTAGCGCTGCTAAGTTGAAGTACCTGGTGGGGAAGAGGGGTGCTCACTCTCGCCTCCCCGATCCCAGGGGCTTCTCACTCCCCCCTCGCTATCTGCTCTCCTGGGTGCTAGCTTGATGAAGGCACCCCCACACCAGTCCCGTTCCTTCCATGAGAGAGTTCCCCACAGGCTGTGAGGGAACTTGGAGAGCAATGGTTTTCCTGTGGAGGGCCTCCTCTCCCCCTCTCTCTCCGAGAGCTGCGAGGTCTTGGTCTCAGGGTCACTGTCCTTGGGGAAGGAGGGGAGTTCTTCCTACCTCCTTCCACTTCCTCTGGGGGTTCCAGCACCTTCAGCCTTACACGTACAGCTGCGTGGGTCTCTCAGACATCTTTTGTGTTGTGTGAATGTGTTCTGTTGGTATATGACTGTCCTTTTTGTTGTATCTTAGCGGGAGAAAGTTCAATGGGGAAAGCTCACTCTGCCATGATGCTGACGTCACCTCCAAAAAGAAGTCTTATAGGCAGTTTCTTAAAGTCAGTTATGTCGTCTAAAGTAATAGTCTGAGGTCTAACAGTGACGGGCCTGGGAGACATAAGCATCCACAGTTTAAAGCAAGAATCATTAGTAAACTGACTCTTTTTCACTCCCAGAGTTGATAAATAAATAATTGTTGGTTTATTCCCACTGAACACTAATCTTAATCAGTTTTGTGTCTACCAGATGGCACTAAAAATCACGCAAGATAATAAAGAATAAACACTGGATGCTGCAATATGTTAGAGCGAGAGCTAGTAAGAGCTTAATTGCTTCTTGGTGGAGAAGAGAAGGACTGGAGAATAAGATGATGATGAATGTCATCTGGAAGAGGGAAACTTGTTTTCATTACTTTGTTTTTGGGAATGCTTTTATAATTAGTTAATCCTAAACTTTATAACTGGATAAATTTGTGAGCTGTGCAAACTGGTATTTTTTAGATTATATACTAAAGACTACTGGGAAATATCAATTTGTCTTAAGAATATGAAGAAAACAATATGTGGCCTCCAACACATACACTGGTTTCTTTAAAGCCCATGGAGGACAGCCAGCCGTGACAGCTTTTTTATAAGGGCAGTCCTCTGTGTATTGTGATTAGATGAAGTAGTATTTGCAAAGCACTTAGCACAGTGCCTGAAATATAAATGATTGCTAGTAATTATTGTTATTATTGTGCCCTGTGGGGATAATCATATGAGTAGGTGCCAACCTGCAGGCCTAAGCGGTGTGACTGCAGAGGGGCTGGGAAAAGTCCCTGACCCTCAGTTCAAGAGTCACTTTTGCGGCTTTGGGCTCTATTAAATGCAAATATTTCCTTAGCAGTCATTTATGCCTTGGTATGAATAAGTTTATTAGATCTTTTCAGAAGAGTGGTATCCAGAGTAGAGAAAAAAGTGAGTATAAAGCTTCCTGGCAGCTCTGAGGCTGAAGGCAGTGAAGAAAAGACTTCACTGACTAGGACTGGCCCTGGTGCCCACCTGTGCATTAGCTGCTGTAAGTACAACCTTTCTCAGAACTTGCGAATATCTGGGACATGAAAATCCTGCCTGCCAAGAGCATGAAGAGAAGAGCTTCTTTAAAGATTCAGCAACCCCAGCATCAGGGTATATCTAACCTTCTCCTTAATGCTGGCATGGCATCCCATGCCTTCCAGACACTTCCTGCTTAGGCAAATAGGGTATGCTTTGGGGAAGCCTGGGTAGGGAAAGGTCAGTTCCAGGGAGGAATCTTATCCACTGCAGAGAAGCCCCCCAGTTTTCTTCTCTTTGAACCTCACAGGGTCAAGAGAGGCCTCTTGGGCCTCACAGGGAATTTTCTCCATGTTTCTCCAGTTCTGAGCCTTCTGAACTAACTAAGATTCAGCCTGCATTGCATGTTGGGCCAACCCTCTCCTTTGATTTTCCAGTGAGTTCTATAGGTCTTCTCTTTTCCTAAAGCAAACATTAAAAAAGAGCGTGTTAAGAGTGAGTAGGAATTTGGGGGGGGAGTTATACATGGGGGGACACCTGTCCTCTTTGGGGGACAGGTGCCACAAAGGCCAAATACTCCCTCAGTAATAACATCATCTTTATCTTTTACTTGGAGTGAAAGTCTCACCATCCAAGAGTACCATTTCCAGAAAACCACAGCTGTCACAGCTAAAAAAAATTTAGCTGTCACTGGCCCATCCCCCACAGCATGCCAACAATGATGGTTAGTTGACCCTTTGAAAGACACTGGGGAGGCCTGGCCTTGAGGAGATGGTATACAAGGTTGATTTGGAAAATGATAGCGCATGGCTGGTTCTCATGATCCCTGGAGGACAACCAGGTCATGGAAGCACTCACAGAACAAAGGGGCAGGATATTAAATGAGGGTCTTAGGCCCTGAAGAAAAAGTGGGGATCTGGGGCCAGACACGAGTACAGAAGGGTTTTTTTTCTTTTTTTTTTTAACCTATGTCTCCATTTGCCAGCTTCATATGTGTATAGGCATAAGTGAGAGTGTCACCCTAATGTTAATGCTGACCTTTAGAATTAAAGACAATATCTACACACATCAATATTTATCACAGAGCCTATGCATTTTTCATCTCTGCCAGCGAAGGAATAAATTAAGGCATCTTCTTAAAGCAAACATATTGCACAATATTACATTCTCTCATGCAGGATTTTATTGTACATGAAATATATTGTTTCATGCAGCAAAAGAAATAAAGTCAAGAATACACTGAAATGATAAAGATGGTAAAGGGAAGAGAAAATGTAAGGTAAGCAGGGTGAACATAAAAGGATTTATGAGAAAAAAGACCCTCAAAACAAAAAGCTAGCTTCAGCATATTGACATGATATGATCCCAAATTATCAACTAAGCCCACCATGCTTCTGATATGGGTTTGGGAGAATTGAAAATAAAAAAGAAAGGTACCAAAGAACATAGAGCATTCTTTATGCTCTTCTTACCTAGAAATGCTGCCATGTTCATAACTTGACTAAACACACAGCTTGCAGGAGGTTCATCGCCTGCAATACTTGAAAAATATGAAATGTTTTGTTATTACTGTATTAAAATCTATAACCCTGTGCAATGGACTGAATGTTTATGTCCCTTCAAAATTCAAATGTTGAAATCCTAACTCCCAATATGATAGTATTAGGAGGTGGGGCCTTTGGGAGATGATTAGGTCAAGAGGATGGAGCCCTGGTGAATGGATTCGTGCCCTTATGAAAGGGACCTCTGGCATCCTCTTTCTGCCATTTGAGGATACAATGGGTAGTCTGAAGCCCAGAAGAGAGCTCTCATCAGAACTTGACCATGCTGGCACCCTGATCTTGGACTTCCAGCCTCCAGAGGTGTAAGAAATGAATTTCTGTTGTTTATAAGCTACCTAATCTATGGTACTTTGTTATAGCAACTTGAACTGACTAAAACAGAAATTAGTACTGAGAAATGCGGGCACTGCTATAACGAATATCTAAAAATGTGGAAGTGGCTTCAGAATTGAGTAATCGGTAGAGACTGGAAGAGTTTTGAGGTGCATGCTAGAAAAAGCCTAGATTGTCATGAAGGGACTTTCAAAGGCGATTCTGGTGGGAGTTCAGAAAGAAAAGAGGAGAGCTGTAAAGACAGCTTCTGTCTTCTTAGAGAATACCTAAGTAATCATGAACAGAACGCTGGTAGGAATATGGGCAGTACAGGCCATTCTGATGAGGTTTTAGATGGAAATGAGGAACATATTATTGGAAACTGGAGGAAAGGCAATCCTTGTTATAAAGTGGCAAAGAATGTCACTGAATTGTGTTTGTGTTCTAGTGTTTTGTGGAAGGTAAAACTTGTGAATGATGAAACTGAATATTTACCCGAAGATATTTCTAAGCAAAGTGTTAGAGGAGTGGCTTGGTTCCTCCTGACTTCTTAAAGCAAAATGTGAGAAGCAAGAAATGATTTGAAGATGGAATTGTTAAGCAAAAAGGAACCAGAACTTAAAGATTTGGAAAATCCTCAGCCTAACCATATTGCAAAAATGAGAAAGCACATTTGGAAGAGAACACTAAGGGTGTGGCCAAGTGACCCTTTGATAAGGAGATTTGTGTGGGTGTGAAACACGGATTTTTTGTGTGTGTGTGTGAGGAAGATCAGCCCTGAGCTAACATCTGCCAATCCTCCTCTTTTTGCTGAGGAAGACTGGCCCTGGGCTAACATCCGTGCTCATCTTCCTCCAGTTTATATGGGATGCCGCCACAGCATGGCTTGCCAAGCGGTGCATCGGTGCGCGCCCGGGATCCGAACTGGCGAACCCCGCGCTGCCACAGCAGAGCACACACACTTAACCACTTGCGCCACCAGGCGGGCCCTGAAACACGGATTTAATTAACCATCTCAACAAAAGCTAGGAAGACAGATGTGATTATACCAGCAGAAACACTACCAGCTAGGACTAAAGGGTAGTGGGGTGCCGGGCTGCCTCTCCTCAATTTCAAAGGCGAGACCAATGCCTCTTGGGACCCCAAAGAGCTCTCTCGCTTTCTTTCCACCTTGTGAGGATACAATGAGAAGATGGCAGTCTGTATGCCAGAGAGGGTCCTCACCAGAACCCAAACATGCTGGTACCCTGATCTTGGACTTCCAGCCTCCAGAGCTGTGAGAAATAAATTTCTGTTGTTTATAAGCCATCCTCTCATTTTTCCAAGATCCAACAGATCAGAAGAGAGTTATCAAGTTACCTTATATATGGTGCATGCTTCACACCAGGTTTCCTGGAAAACAAAAAACACAGAAGCTCAGGCTAAAGTACAGTCATCCATGCACAGTTTAACCCCACCAGTGGCAAAGTTTTTGTGAAGTCTGTTGATGAACAATGAATTACCCAGAGATAAACTTTACCTTTCAGCTGAATTTAATGGGAAAATTTTGTCATCTTCCACAGCTATAAAGTATCTATGAAGAAAGAACAATAGAAGTTTATAAAATAAAGAAATTTTTTAAAAAACCAAGACATTTGTTTCCCAGATTTATGAGACCAACCACATTAAATTACACTCGCTTTTTTTTTCCTAACTGGGAAAATGCTCTTTTACTGCAATGCTTTACCTATAGATCACTTAGCTCTGAAGTTCAAATGTCATTATTAATAATATTTCTTTAATTTTCAAAACACCCCCCAAATTAATGGCCATCATTATAATCTGGAAACTGAAAAACAAAGAAATAAGACCTTATAACTTTGGGCTAAAATTAGAATTCAAATTTTCTAATTTCTTAGGAATATGTGTCCACCTTTCTTAATGAACTGCAAGGAACTAAAATAATTTTCTGGAAGTGAATGGTACTTGAAATAAGCAAATGTGGGAATGTTTTGGGATAAGTCAAGACTTCCAATGTAATGATAACTGTTTTATAAACATACTAGACCCAGTTACGAAAAAAAAAATACTGGACTGTGAATGGAATCCTTAGCATGTTAGTGTCACATTAGCAAATCTTGCAAATAATGAATCCATATCACCAGTTTACAGAATGTTCATTACTGGAAGAACATGGGAACACAAAATAAAACCAGTATTCTTCACTACCTGCTTTGCATAATTTATTACTCACTCTTGTTATTTACTTTGAGTAACAGAAGAAGAGAAATGGGGACTTGAGCAAGGCTGAATGAGTAAACATTATTTTAAATTATTTATAAATACATTCATATAGGTATGCCATATACTATCAAAACTTTACATTTTTATCTGCATTGCACCTGAGTCCTTAAATAATAAAATAAGAGAATACTCACACTATCCACAATCCAGCTGAAGTAAACAAAGTAAATACAAGAGGTAAAAACATCCATACGCTGCATTTCTTCCCATCCATGCCTGTACCACTGAAATATAATGAACAGGTATTAATAATTAAGGCAAAAACGTACTTCACTCTTTCAAGATGGAAAGGAAGTTTACTTTAACTGAAAAAAAAAGTGTATTTTATGAAACCGTGATTCAAATCTGTATCATTACTGCCACCTACACATGTGGGAAATCCCTTGAGCAGTTAACATGGATGATTATCTAAATATTTCAGAGTCTTAGTTGAGAACTGATGGAAATATTCTCATAAAAACATTTATCCTAATATAAGCATCAGTGTATATAAGAAAGGACAAAGGGTTTGGGTTAAGATTTTTAGGAGAAGAGCTAGGTACCAAAGGCATACTCCAACCTACTTTTAGTGTTATTATTAACATTGACGGATTTATGGATCTGTGGATCTGGCACGTACATATGTCTACAGCTTCGCAGACGAGTTTTAGAACAAATGGTTACTAAATAAATTAGCAATGCAAGAGGAAATGACAAATGCTTTGCAAATCCAAACTTTTCTCAAGACAACGTTATTGAGCAACTATCTCAGAAGACTAAAGATGAACGCTCTAGAAAACAATGCATTGTGTATAACTTTAAATCGGCGCAACAAACTCAATGAAAAAAATACAGATGTCAGGCATTTTGGATATTATATTTGAAAGCAAAAATATATGAATAAAAAATTCTCCACAAAAATGAAGGGAAAAACTTCAGAAGTGTCCATGAAAAATTATTGGTATAGAATAGAAACTAATAACTAATTATCAGTTTACTTCTTTGCCCCAAACCATCAAACAAAATTTATTTGAGACACTGGATGCCAACAAGCCTTAAGGCAAAAAACACTTGTTCCAAGAGAATAAATTGCCCTAATGACCTCCACAGGTGACCTGACAAACAGAAAGATAATGTGATTAATAGGTACCTCTACGGAGATATCACTGCTCATTATTTTGGGTTTTACAATGAACTGCAACAAGTCGTTTCAGGTTTGAACCAGCACTGCCACGTTTCTGAGCACCTCCATGATACCTGCTTTCACGTGCTGAGACTCCCTGGACCTTCAAAGTATTGAGACCCGAAAGAGAACATGGCCCTCCCTTGAGACTGGCGACCTGCAAGGTGTCAGAAAGGTCTTAGTTCCCAGAACTGACCTGCCTGATAAGGGAGATCTTTCAGGCCAGGGGACAGACACCTGGACCTAATGACGTGTCTTTGAACAGTCATGCTATAGACTAAACACCTATCTGGGCAGGGGTGTTAAATGACAGAATCTAGGAGCTGAAAGACATTAGAGCCACTTTCAATCAATTTAATCCAATCTAATCCAAGCTGATCCAATTCACAAGTATTGACACCCTACTTGTGCCAGGTACTATACCGGGTGGTGGAAATAACTGATGTGAGGTCTAATGAATACAACTATTTATACATGTAACACTCCATACAATATATAAAAGCTACCATATGAACCAGTGGTGCATGGCTTATATCATGCAGAAGAATGATGAACATTTTAAGCATACGCAATATGGCTAGTCAGTGTCCATTTATTTATGTCCAGAAAGCTGTGGGCTCACAATAAAGCTATCAATTATGCTAACAAAAATAATTCCATCAGTAGCCAAGAAGTAGAGGAAATACAGAAAATAGGAATGGTGATTGAGCATGTAACCCAATAATTCTAGATCTGCCCCTGAAATAGGGTGCTGCAATAGGATAGTACAGCTGAAATGGTTACATTGGAATAAGAGTTAGGAGACCCAGTTCTAAACCTTAGCTTTGCCAATAATTAACTCTCCGGACCTGGGCCAGTTACTTAAATCTGTAACACCATTTCCCCATCTTGCTACATGAAGATTGTTGAATCCTAGGAGGGAGAAGGACATCAAAGACTCAGGCCTCACAGGATGGTAGTACTTAGAAGTTACCCCAAGTCTAGTATCTTATACTTTTGCAGTAACAGAATGCTCCAATGTACCCAGAATTATCAGCCCCAGAAAAAACTCATGCCTATTAACCATTTTTACAACAGACTGGTGAATAGATCGGAATGCCAACTTATTAATGTACAGTGAGAAACAGCTACCACATGGACAAACACTCACATTGGCTCCCCTTTTAGGAACGTCAATATGGGAAATCAAAATTTGGAAGCAGGAAAGTAGAGTGAAGAGAGTTAACCAGATAATTCTAAGACTACGGCATCAAGTTACAATGCTTTTATATGCCAATTAACTTTAAAGAGAGGCAGTTTGGTGGAATGGAAAAGGTATGGCAAGGGATAGGACTGAAACCCAGCTCTGCCACTCACTAGCTGTGTGATCTCTGGGAAGTTATTTCATCTCTTAAGCCTTAGTTTAATTATAGAGATAACTTCTATTTTGTAGGATTGTGCTGAGAATTAATGATGATACAGGTGAAGCCCCTTCCGGGAAGGGCACATAATGCATGTTCCGGGAAGTGGCAGCTCTGCCAAGTATAACTGCCAAGCAGATCAATACTTGTGTTAGGACAAGGTACTCTCCAGCTAAAGCAGGGCTCAGGACAGCTTAACACTTTTCTTCTTCTCTGGGCTCCTGTTTTTCTAGAAGGAGGCAGACAACCTTCCTCATAGTAGTAGTTTCTTTCTTCAGATGACTCTTCAAAAAAATTAATACCATAACCTTACACACATATTGAAGGAGGGCCTGTCTTCCTGAGATTTTACTCATTGGTTATCCTTCAGTATGCATTGCTTTTCTTTTTTTCTTTTAATATATCCAGCATTCTTGTTTTTATTTAAAAGCATCACAATTTTCAAAATGATATTCCTCAACTTGCCATAGAGTGAAAACCTCCTTTTGTCTTAAGTTATGGATATTTTCCTCCCTTATATTTTGTTCTGGAAATAGAGGAACAACTAATTTTAAATCTAAAATATATTTATAAATATTATATCAAAAATTTTAAAGTCTTTTAAATAGAATTATGGCATGTTTTATACTGTTTTATTAACAATCTCTTTTTTTGTTTGTTTATTGTGGTAACATTGGTTTATAACTGTAAACATTTATAAATTTCAGGAGTACATCATTATACTTCTATTTCTGCATGGATTACATCATATTCTCATGTTCACCACCCAAATACTAATTACAATCCATCACCACACACAGGTGCCTAATTATCCCTTTCGCCCTCCTCCCTCCCCCCTTCCCCTCTGGTAACCACCAATCCAATCTCTGTATCTATGTGTTTGTTTGTTGTTGTTATTATCTACTACTTAATGACTGAGATCATACGGTATTTGACGTTCTCCCTCTGACTTATTTCACTTTGCATAATACCCTCAATGTCCTCCATGTTGTCACAAATGGCTGGATTTCATCGTTTCTTATGGCTGAGTAGTATT